TATTTCATATTTCATATTTCATATTTCATATTTCATATTTCATATTTCATATTTCCACAATTTCCAATTTATTTTCAATCTAGTTTGCCTAGGCTTTATTTCTAAATTGACTTAAGGCCCGCTTCTATTTTCCCTAGTTATTCGTTACTACACAGTCTTACGTTAAACAGCTTCAGTACACAAATACACAAAAAACAAGTTGAGTCAAAATTTCCAATAAATATTGAAACTTTTTTGTTGTGAACACGCAGAGGACCAACTGAGCCGTGTCATATTATGATGCTTCGGCTTAAACGACGATTGCGCCTCTTGGAGGCGTCCGTGCTGAACAAGCAGCTGATCATGAAATATGTGGTTCCGACCGTGTTGCCCATCTCTGTGGTCTACGGCAAAGATGCGAGCGACAAGAAGAACGAGCCGGGCAAGCCCGCTGAGCCGGCCAAGGCAAGCGAGCCGAGCAAGGCCCCCGAGATGAAAAAGGAAGGCGGTGATAAGCCACCAGGCAAAGATAACCCACCAAAGGCCGGAGCTCCGCCACCACCGCCGCCGCCACCGCCCAAGGATGCGAAGCCACAGGGACCGCGCATCAAGACCTTTGAAATATATCGCTGGCATCCCGGCGGCAAGCCCAAGACCCAAAAGTATCAGATCGATTTGAACAAGTGCGGCACTATGGTGCTGGATGCCCTAATCAAGGTGAAGAATGAAATGGACGGCACGCTCACGTTTCGCCGTTCGTGCCGGGAGGGCATCTGCGGCTCCTGCGCCATGAATATCGACGGCATCAATACGCTGGCCTGCATCCAGCCGATCGACAAGAATTTGGGCAGGCCGTGCAAGATCTATCCGCTGCCGCATCTGTATGTGGTGCGGGATCTGGTGCCGGATCTGTCGCGCTTCTACGAGCAGTATCGCTCCATTGAGCCCTGGCTGCAGCGCAAGAATGCGAACAGGGAGATCGGAAAGGTGCAGTACTTGCAAGCGGTCGAGGATCGCTTGCTATTGGATGGGCTCTACGAGTGCATATTGTGCGCCTGCTGTCAGACCTCCTGTCCGTCCTACTGGTGGAACAGTGATAAATACTTGGGCCCTGCCATCCTGATGCAGGTCTTTCGCTGGGTCATCGATTCGCGGGACGAGGAGACCGAAAAGCGCTTGAGCATGCTCACAGATCCTTATAAACTGTATCGCTGCCACACCATACTCAACTGCACAAACACGTGCCCCAAGAACCTGAATCCAGCCAAGGCGATCGTCCAATTGAAGCAGATGCTCGTTGGCATGAAGAAGAAAGAAAAACCAAAAATGGAGGCTGAGTCGGGCTAGAAGAAACAGATACCAAAATTGTGCATTTTAATTATATATCTCCTAGGAACAATATGTTTTTCATATTCACATAAATAATTATCAAATATAAGATATCGAATATCAAATATAAGATCTATTTACATAGATATAAGATATAAGATATAAGATATAAGATATAAGATATAAGATATAAGATAT